ATTCGCAGCGCAAACTTTCGCGCAAACCTCCTCTTCCTTTCGGCGGGCCACAGTTTCAGGCGTGACGTTTCACGCCAACGTCATCGTCTTTCCGCTACTCAATCGAGAAGCACCGCTGCCGTTGCCTCCAAGCACGCTGTAGATAACACCACGGTGCCACCACACTTCACAGACACAGCCACTTTATATACTACACTACACCCGTTCTACATCCTATGAGCGGAGCTTGATCGGCTTATGTTCGTACTTTCGTCGTTTCGTGAAAAACTTCGCCGACGTTGCCAGGCCCTTCACACAGTTGCTGAAGAAAGATACCATATTCTCATGGGGCCCTGAGCAGGCTAAATCGTTCACTACTCTCATCGGCTACTTAACTACACCCCCCATACTTGTCCACTTTAATCCTTCTGCTGCCCAGAAGTTCGCACCGACGCCAGTGGCCACGGTATCGGCGCAGTTCTCGTTCAGCAACACCACGGCAGACAGTGCGTGGTAGCTTACGCCAGTCGCCTACTTTCTCCCCCTGAGAGGAATTATTCCATCACAGAGAGAGAGTGTTTAGCTTTAGTTTGGGCCATCGCCAAGTTTCGGCCATATTTATATGGTCGCATATTCTCTGCGTTACGGACCACCACGCCCTTTGCTGGCTGACATCTCTGAAAGATCCGACTGGATGTCTAGGTCGCTGGGCTCTGAGGCTCCAGAAGTTTTCGTTTAGCATCAGCTACAAATCTGGCCGTTTGCACAAGAACGCAGACTGTCTTTCTCGTCATCCGGTGGATCCTCCTGACCCCGTTGTGCCTGACCCGGAGAGCCGCATAATGGCGTTTACTGACATCAGCGATACGTGCATTGAACAACGACGGGATGAGTCAGTGCGCACTATCATCGACGCCATTCATTCTGACGACCATGACAATGAATCCCGTATGTTTGTACCGCAGGACGGTATCCTCTACCGCCGCAACGTCAGCACTGAAAGCCCTGAGCTTCTGATCGTCATTCCTCGTCATCTATGGCCTGCCGTACTTGAACAACTTCACGACGCACCAACAGCGGGACACCTCGGTGTTTCTCGCACATACGACCGCGTGCGACGTCGGTTCTTCTGGCCAGGACTGTACCAAAGCGTGCTTCGATATGTCGCCACTTGCGACCTCTGCCATCGCCGGAAAAGACCTTCTTCGCTGCCAGCTGGATATCTTCACCCAATTCAAGTCCCCTCTGAACCATTTCATCGGGGGGACTCGACTTTCTTGGCCCTTTTCCGACGACGACACTGGAAAATAAATGGATCGCCGTGGCCACAGACTATGCGACCTGTTACGCGATAACAAAGGCCATGCCAACCAGTTGCGCCACTGACGTCGCACATTTTCTTCTTCATGGCGTAATCTTACACCACAGCGCACCCCGACAGCTGCTTACGGAATGCGGCCGATCTTTCTTGTCCAAAGTTGTCGACGACCTCCTTCGATCGTGTGCCACAGCGCATAAGCTCTGTACCACATACCGCCCACAAACTAATGGCCTAACTGAATGCCTCAACCGCACGCTCACAGAGAGTCTTTGATGTACGTCTCCGAAGATCATCTTGACTGAGACACCACGTTGGCCCATGTGACTTTCGCATATAATTCCTCTCGACATGACACCACGGGATTCTCACCTTTTTATCTTTTGTATGGTCGCGACCCCATATTGGCATTTGAAACCACCTTGCCTATCAAGCCATCTGCTTCTGAGTACGCTCGCGAAGCCATTGATCGGGCTCACATGGCTCGTCAAGTCGCCCAATCTCGTCTCACCAGGTCGCAGGCTATGCAAAAAGCACGCTACGACCACCTGCATTGTAATATAACGTTAGCCCTAGGTGACCGCGTGCTCCTCTGGTCACCGCGTGTCGCCATATAGGTCTCTCCGAAAAACTTTTGTCCCGATACGCAGGACCCTACCCAGTCTTACGTCAAGTTAGCGACGTCAACTACGAGATAGCGCGATTGCACTTCAATACATCAAGTTCGTCACTTGTCGACATTGTCTATGTTTCGCGCATGAAACCTTACTTCTCTCACACTTCTCCGGGCTCGCGCCGAGACGGCGCTCCAACGCCCGGGGGTCCTGTCACGGAGACGAAGTAAAGAAAGAGGAAGAACTTAAGCAGCTGATAGTTGCGCGAGGGTGCCAATCAGCCGTTGTGACTCTTGCCTATGGGTTTTCCTGTGTAAACGCTTTTTGTACAGAAGTCTCTAACCCCGTAACAATATTACTGTTGCGCAAGCTGCCACAGCTTGCAACGTAGCAATTGACGCCACCAGGCTTTTATATAATGAAAAACTAGCCCACATAAATACCAGTGATTAAAGCCGGCGTTAATAATGTTGACATTGTGAAGCCCGAAACGATGGACTGGTTGATATCGTTTGTCAGGAACCGCGTTGGACTTGCAATTTATACAACGACATCAAGCAACGAACCATATGGTACGAAACGCTTTCAGATCTTTTTTTTCCAAGAATGTAGCTTGAGTTGTCACCACGGAGAAGCCACCACGCTTCTAAGCCACCCCGGTGGCTTCAAAGGGACTGTCACTTCCACAACTTAAATGCAATAACGAATCGCATACGCCACTCAAAGGATGTAGTATAGTAATAATTGTTGGGATATTATGTCTTATTACCACGATATGATTATAAGAGACGCAGTAGTGAAGGGCTTCGGAAATATCGGCCCCCTAGGGTTCTTTAACGTGCACTTAGATCTTAGTACACACGAGCCTTTATATAACACTTCGCCTATCGAAATCGGGCCCGCAGTTGAGCCCATAACCATTTAAGTTGAGGCTTGGGCTTGTTGGTACGTGCTTAAAACAGGGAAGATACCACGCACAATTCTCATAGAACCCGTGACGAAGAAGGCACCACCGCAGCGTTGTTGTGCCTTCTTCGTGTGGTGTGTCGTAATTTTGCGCGATGTTCTCTCCCTGTTATAACCACTAGACCACAATAGCAGGCAGGTTTCAGGGGATGTGGTAGTGGTCCGCAACAGCTTCGCGCTACAGCCACTGTCGCATGGCAAGTCTGGACGCCCTCATAGATTATATACGATTTCACTATCGAAAAAAGGTTTGAGCGCCACCCATCTTAGGGAAGAAAAGCGTCTGGATCACGCTTGTGCTATGTCAAATGACCTCACATACTTCTCCAGACCACCAACATTTCTCAAACCTCCAAATTGCCTACTTCCTCTACTCTCTTTCAAATGCTGTGATTTCAGATGCAGTATTTTTTTTCTTTCTGCCTTGTTTTGATTTCACTTTCCTCGCGAGGAGCTCGAATATTTCTAGTTCAGATTTCCTTCGCCCGTGTGAACTAACAAAAAGAGATCCCCTGATGCATAGTAAAGGGAATTCAAGGGTTGTGCTTTGTAGCTACCTCGAGCTCTCAGTTTTCAGGTAAGGTACACTTACTGTGCAAAACAGAGTCTTTCCTTACTCATGAAGAATGAGACATGCATTAGTAATAAATAATAAATGTAGTCATTTATTAGATCTGTACTTGGACGGGTGCCACAAGCATCCATTATTCACGAAACTGATAGTAACCTTTTACCGACTATCTTCCACTCTTGGGTTGATATGTGCGAATTCGCCGCCCCATCAGACGCCAGGGTGATACCCGAGGCGCTCATTTAACGCTTTGGGTGTCAGTAAACACGGGAGGGGCCTTAACTGGGTCAGCGCGCCAATGAACCGCCGAAGGCTCGAACGGCGCCGATATCATCGGCTGACGACAGGGTATGGTTATTGTCGGCACTGAACCTGGTTCTTACAGCCTTTTGTATCTTCTGAGCAGCCCCGCAAAATTAGCACTTATTGAGTAAGAAGTTATGCAACTGAATTTTGCTAAATACGTGAAAAAAAAAGTCATTCACAAAAGTCGATATTTGAGTGGGTTGGTTCATGTTACTTAAAATCCCAGCAAAAAGCGAGACACGACAATGTAGGGAGACGTACAGAACACTAGGAAATATATATATATATATATATATATATATATATATATATATATATATATATATATATATATAAATATATATATAGATATATATATTACTGTAATCTTTTTCCTTACTTTGATTTAATTTTTAGCTCCCCAGAATGAATGACTGGGCGAAATTTCCACTTTGTATTCTTGAACTAGAAAACACTTACTTGTCTGACACTATCAATGAACGATGCTCAATTAATTTTACTACTTTTCCCCGCTGCTTATCGAAATAATTTTACTGGTGCATATATTTTTTGCCTTCTTTTTTCACTCCCTGGCCGCTAAATTGTTGGTAACTCTGCAACACTGCATTGAGAGTTTACGCCTTCACACTTGTAATTCCCAGGCCTCTTTTCGTCTGCGCTATGCCTCACGTTGCCATGATGCAAGACCAGTGGGTAAAACTTTTTATCTTGGTCGCCGGGGCTGATCTCCGGATCTGTTTGTAAGTTCGAATCCCACAGTCATTCTTGCACGCGTTTGATTTGCATACAGATTTTGAGATTATCTTGCTTCTGTCGGTTTGTTGCACCTGGATCATTGCCGCCACTGGTCACAACGGTGAGGCAAAGGTGAAAGCTCGGCGACACGGGCGCGCGAAAGCCGAGAATGTCCTCCGCTACCAAACACGGGCACCTATAGGAGATGGAAATGATTGCTAACCGTGTGCGCGTGCTTCCGTATCTTCCTCTGCGGGGGACCTTGGACTGCCATCAAATGCGGCACTCGCAATGTGCAGCTCTCCTGCGGCTTCGCTGGTCCTTGAAAAAGAAAAAAATCATTTTCTACGTGCTTCATTTTTCTTCTTTTTTTTTTGAGCAGCTAGCATAATTTAGACGCGGCAAGGAGACCCCTACTGTCGAGCGCGCTGTCCTCTCCCTCACATAGATCTCGCCTCGCCTCTTCCCGCTTGATAGGCGCTCTTCGTTTCGCTATAAAAGCAACCAATTGACGCACTTTAGCTCATGTCACGACATTTGCTCTCATGCCAGCTATCAGAGCGAGCAACATGAAGGCTATGGTGAGTCGATCAGTTGCACTCTGCGAGGAGCAGGCACAAATAAACACCAAAAACCGGCGCGGCAGTGATTCTGTGCCGCTCCAGTGTTCCTATATGTTGCGTCTTGCTCCAACGCAAACATTTTTTTTTCAAGTGACGATTAGGGTTTTTCCGTACTAAGGTTAACCGATCTGTCTCTGCGCGATAAATGCATGATGAATGTGGCTTGTCTTAAACTTTACTTGTATCATGTCGGATGTGTAACGGGCCTTTTGTGCTGGTGCGTCCGTGATGTTTTCTTTTGTGTGTGTGTGCTGATTGTTTGCCAGTAAGTTTATATAGCTGTTAAGGGTAGAGACTGGTATTTATTGCACTTCGGTAGTCTGTGTAAATGTACACAAGTCTGAGAGTGAAGAGCAACGCTTCGTGTTCTTCACTTGACCCAGTATCCCGCCCTTTTCTTCTCTCTTGTTTTTTTTTTTTGGCATTTAGCTCTTGAAAGGGCATGAAGATAAGGCAGTTCATTTGGACGGGGGCTTTGACATCACTGCTTTTTACCGAAAGCTTCTCGCGAGATGAAGCTTCTACCACAAAAGCCACACATTTCTTTTACTTCTTAAGGTTTCGTCTATCATTATTGTTGCTGAGCAGGCGTGAACCGATGTAGTAGCAACAAGAAGTTCAGATGTGCTTTGAGATGCGACCATGTGAACTGCTTTTCCGTGAGACCATTCCTGAGCCCCTCGAGAGCTTCATTTCCGACGAGCACAGCAACATGCTTATCTAGCATATGAAATAATATCCCAGAACAAAACTGATCGTGTGCATGCTTTCTATACCTACGTAGAACGAAACTAACTTAAGTTTAGCAATATGTGAACGAGTAATGAAATTATAATGTTGACACATAAAAAAGTGTTATCAGCACACATTAGCAGTAGTAACCCCAATACATTTTATTATTATTATTATTATTATTATTATTATTATTATTCGTGGTGGTGGTGGTGGGGCTGGTTCTGTTGCTGTTACAGCAGCAACCCCTCGCCAAATAAAGCTAAGCCAACAACGCGAAGGTTACGTTGGATAGACCAGCTGTCCACCACTTTGGCCATGTCCTCTTCGATAAGGAGGCACCAGCCGGTTTTTCCCAGCTTTTTTTTCTTGCTTGAATATGGTTACCTACATCACTACGTTAATTTTATTCTTTATTTTTCAAATTTTCCCGCACTAACCATGTTTAATCATTCATTCTTACCATGTTATTTCCTGTTTTGCTGATGGATAATGATTATGGCATGTTTCTGTTCAACCACTGTAACTGCTCAGTGTATGGGGTGGCATGTTTCTCTCAAGCTGCTTAATGCAGCTTTTTCGCCAAGTTCTCTCGCAACCTTGTTGCAAAATAAACTCGATTCAATTCAATCAGTTCACGTGATACGAACATGATATTTAAAAATTTCGTTGAAGCGCACTAAAAAACAGACGGATAGAACAGACTGTGCGCTTCAACAAAATTTTCACTTATGAACGTAATCCAACTGGCCCAACTTGCCATCTTGCTGCGAACGGGTTATCAGTGTCAGTGAATTGTAATGAAACTTGCTCCGAATTGCATAACTTGCATAAAGTCTCTATATGTTTTGAGTCTTCATCAGAGCTCGTACGAGCCATACAAAAAGTGTACGTCTTCACCGGTCCATAATCTTGTCGCAGTTCTTCGTCTTCCTTGCCATCGCTTTTGCCTTGGCTGCTGTCAGTGCCTATCCCTACTACAAAGGCTCCGGCCACTTCGGCGGTGGCTATGGTGGTGTCGGTCTGGTCAAAGGTTTCGGCTACGGAGGCTACGGAGGCTACGGAGGCTATGGAGGAGGCTATGGAGGAGGCTATGGAGGAGGCTATAGAGGAGGCTATGGAGGTGGATTCAGGAAAGTCGTTGGTTTTGGCGGCTATCGCGGTTATGGTGGCTATGGTGGATATGGCGGCCACAAATTCGGCAAGTTCTTCCATGGATAAGCATCTACATTAGAAAGTACCAATGAGAGACTCGTCTCAAGTTGTCCAATCTGCGGCCATTGGCACACACTGGGCACAGAAAGGTCCGGATTTGTGCGCTGCCACTCCTAAATGTTCCTGCGTAAGCAAACTATTTGTGCTCAACACATCATTTAAAAATAAAGCTCTTATTCAACCATCCAATTTGCCTGTTCATTTCAACTTATTTGATATAATCAATCTGAGCAAGTACTCCGGCAAACTACAGTGCTGATGTGGCGGGGGAGGGGGGAGCCATTCTACAAAAAGCATAGGTTTACTGGGTTCGCAGTGTCGTTTCCTTCTTGCTGAACTGCTACAAGGTTCTGAAGAGAGGAAGAGACCACTCACCTTTCTTTCCAGATCTTTTGAGGATTGCAGATGCTATGACGTGGAAAACTTGCCCTCCCGCAGTTATCTACGGGAATGTTTGTTCTTTACTTTTGAAGACGACAGTCTTTCTTGGGATACTTGAATGCGGAAATCTTGGCCTGCCTGCCTGTCTGTCTGTCTGTCTGTCTGTCTGTCTGTCTGTCTGTCTGTTTGTCACACAATTCAGCATTACGGCCAATTTTTAAGCACTTTCTGGACGCCCAGCCATCTTGAACTAGTGGCGGCGTTCATATACGCAAACAATATTGGTCAACTACGTAATTCTAAATACTGTGTTGTTTCTTAAGCTGCGCTAAAGATGCAACGCTATGCACACAAAAAAGCCCTCTGTCGACCATATTGTGCCGCCCCCTTGCAGTGACCCTGGGTTCTGCATAAGCTCATATTTTCCGAAATCACTGCCAGATGGCATCCATATCGCACACAGCGCCTCTTCTATTTTATCAATGCCAGCTAGATGCGGACAATTCAACAAACAGGAGGTGCTGTCAGAAGCAAGGTAAAACATAAATGACCGCGGATGAGACCAGGGCTCATGTTGTATGACCAGCATAAGAATGACATCTTTCGGTGAAATTTGCAGCAAAGCATGCACCAATACGCCCATTCTTTTTTTCCGTTTCGGAATTGCTTTTCTGAAGAAAAAGACTATTCAGTCGAGACGCACTTTACCTTTATGGTTGTTATGTCAATACTAGAATAGAAAATATTATTACTTGTCAATTATATAAGTGCAAAAACTGCAAACGAATGACGAATGATTAAAAAACTTGAAATGTGATCTACTTCCAATAAAATGAAGTTCATTCAACTGATTCGCAGGATGTCTTATAAAATGGGAAGAATCTCTGCACAAGTCCTTGACATGTCTCACCAAGCTACATCAGTTTTTTGGCCACACTTCATAACCAGGATCGCGCTAACAAATTCTACCTACCATTTCTGCATTCCTGAACAACGCCGTGAACTGAAAACCACTTTGCACCCGAAAAGGGGTTTCAAGCTAGCAGAACACGCTTTTGTCTAACCGAAATTTGCAATGTAAAAAAAGTGTGGGTGAAGGGCATTTTTTCTCCACAAACGGCCTTTAATAGGGATGTTCTAGCTAAAATGCTTTTTAGGAGGTAAAGGTGTTTTAGGTTACTGAAACGCTAAGAGCCTCCACAACTGCAAAATAAATGTTAAATGGAACACACTGATTGAAAATTTCATGGATCTTGGGCGGGTTCTGATTTTAAGATATGCCTCAGGCCCATCTATAATCGTCCTATTGATTTAGGCCTATTCTCTGAATGTTTAGTGTCCATTATACGGAGCAGTATTATTCTTACCGGCACTGAGCAGCGGGGCGTAAAATACTATGGTTATATATACCATGTAAACACCTTATAGGATGTAGCGTGAGTGCTTAGTTCGTGAGGTATTTTACAATACGCTCGGCTGTGTGAACAGTTCGGCGTGTGCATGCATCGTCTATGCTGATGTCCAAATGCATGTTCCCTGAGTGGTAGATTTTTTCATGTTTTTTTTCTTTCAGGGATAAAGGTGCAACGTCATTGCAAACACCTTGTGGTACGGATTATTCAATACGGGAAAACACCTTTTTTAGGGTGTAATGGTGTTAGTTATAGGCATGGCAAAACCCCTTGTAGGGTGCAGACTGGTTTGATGTGTTTATTACGCATTATCGACCAGAAAGAAGAGGATAGCATCAGTAGTTGTATAGTAATAATGTCATTTGGCCCTAAGGGTAATAGAAATAAGAAATAAGTAAACAAATAAAAAAAGAATGATAATAAAAACAAAACTCGTGCTAGTCTATATGTAGCGATCCTCATGCGACGTCCTCTTGTATGCTATAATTTTTATCATACAGATCTGCGATCAACGGACCAGTAAAAAAAGGACATCTTATTGTTACAACAAATATGTGTCATAGAGAGCACGCTGTGTCTGCCTATTTGGTGCTAGCGGTTTGATTGGCCTTCTTTTTCTGTCTCTCAGCAGTTAAGAGAGAGCAATGTTTAAAGAAGTTCCCGGAGATGTCAGCCTGGCTTGCTTCACCAGGTGTTAGGTGATAACAGTGGTATGCAAGCCGATCAGATATACACACAAAAAAACTGGCAGATCCAGCGCACAGTGGGAATAGATGATATGCGAAGCACAAATGAAGAAGGTTCATACGTCATTTTGAAATCATCGCAACGTTACCAGGTGGACATATGACATGCATATAATGATTATCATTCTTGGACGTGTGAACTATCTTCGTCGTCCATTCACGTCACGTAATACCGAATTTCGCATACCTGAAGTTAGCCAAACGGCCACGGCCATCATTACATGGTATGTTGCATTGTTCTTACATGACACGCATCTCGTGATTATCATTTTTGCACCAGTCATATACCTTCGTCGTCCATTAACATCACGTAGCACCAAATTTACTATATTTGAAGATAGCGATACTACAGTGAGCGCACTATGAGCGTAGCATGTAGTCATGTTTTTCATGATCCGAATATCATGATTATCATGTATCAATGTGTCATTTTCCTTCATATTTGGTTCGCGTCAAGTGATACCAAATTTGGTACATGTGAAGCTAGCCAAACGGCCACGAGTTTATCATGAGCATGGCAGGAATCATTCTCTTATATGACACATCTTTCATGATTATCATGTTTACACCAGTCATATACCTTCGTCATCCATTCACGTCCCGTGACCGCGAGCCTGCCATGAGCATGGCGTGTAGTCATCATAGATAGATAGATAGATAGATAGATAGATAGATAGATAGATAGATAGATAGATAGATAGATAGATAGATAGATAGATAGATAGATAGATAGATAGACTCTAAAAAAATTTTACATCCATAAGGGTGTATTTGTTTTGTCCATGCATGGGCAACACCCCTTTAGGGTGTCTAGAAACACCCTAAACAATAAGGTGTTTAGAAACACCCTGAAACCGTATGGTGTAAAGAAACGTTACACCCTATTTTAATAGGTGTTTATGAACACCCCTTAACTATGGGTGTTGGATGAAGCTACACCCATGCGAGTGGGGTATACACTGAAAACCCCCTTGAAACGATGGCAGTTATATGGATGAGCATACTTGATGAAATGAAGCGCAATTAACTGGCAACACAAGCTGAGACACAGGAGGTGACGCTTAGATTTGTGTGTTGAGCAGAGCCGTTCACAGCACTTCATTCCATTAAATATGCATCACCAACTGGACCAACCCTCAATTGTTCTCAGGAAGAAGCATATATGAACCTTCTCTGCGGCTGACAGGGAAGAAGGAAGATACTGGTGTCACCCACTGCACTTATACCTGCATGCATGCAGCTGATAAAATTAGGTGCCATGGTCTTGAATGAGCTGCATGAGACCAGCGTATATATGTGTACGTAGACTGGGCCATAAACGACAAAGACGCGGAAGGCACTTACTTACACACACACACGCACACACACACACACACACACACACACACACCACCACCACCACACCACACCACATCACAGTAGTGCAAGCAGTAACGTGTAGCGTAAGCTCCAACCGAACATAACGCCGAAGCAAAAAACAATTCCATATGTTAACGTCTGCCTTTATTTTAGAAAAACTGCAAGTCTGACAAACAGGACTCTGATGGCAATCTGCAAAATTTTGAAATATGTCACGGGACAAGTTTCTTTCTCTCTATACTAAAAATTCATTGTTTTCAATACAATAAATCTCCACAACTTTCAAAACATTTGCGCTAGTCGGGCAAACGACTGAGACGTATGGCGTTTGATTGACACCTATACAATAGAAGAAAAAAAAACACGTAGAAAGAGTGAGCGAGTTTCTGGAGTCACATTTACAACCTAGTACATCTTGCAGTATAAACTTCGACATTAAAAAAGAGAGCATTCAACAAGGTTGCGTAATTAAGGTTGAATTTATGAAGTAATGTCAGTGCTGATATACTTCTAACTGCAAAACCACTCGTCACTGCTGCTTGCACAATCATCTTCATCTGCTGAGATGACTGGTGCCTTCGAGAGAAGTGGGGCGAAGCTGTTATTTCTGTACAGAAAATTCAATTCCGGAAACCTAAAATAAATACACAAGGAACAATGACTGAAATTTCACAAAGAGTGCAACATACAGTGTGCACCATGCATAACTAACTGCTTTCTTATGTGTAAGTATGAATTGAGTGCATAGCAAGCATATTCAGTGGCATCGGGCTCCACTGCAGTGAGAAATGCTAGAAAAGGTATGCTGAGCAAAAAACGCCATAAAAAGCGCGCTATGGCAGAATCATTATACCTTTCGTGCCGTAGATATGAACTTTACCCTTTCAGCTTGCTCGCGCAGGCAAATAAAAAGGTGCTGCTCCAAGTTGATAATGTTCCATTAGCTGCATGTAACGACCAGTCTAAGTGAATGTCAAGTGCTATGCTTGAGTATGCATCAACACAGCTGCATGTGTATTTCTGCAGATATACCATAGTAATCATTCGATTAGTTTATTAAAAGAAATACAGTACGATGCGCAACAACATATACATATTTTATCTGTATTGCACAAAAGCACAATGACACTGAGCATACATGACGGTATGCGCATTGAGAAGGTATTCAGTGCAGGTAACTTGTAAAATTAAGTACAGTACAGGTACGTATTAAAATGCGAATTATACTAGTGTTCTTGAACTGCCTCACATTGACACGATTATATAATATAAGAATTGGCTGTTGGGTCAT